CATCACCTTCACCTTCATCATCACCATCATCATCACCACCACCATCATCATCACCATCTTCATCTTCATCATCATCATCATCATCATCACCATCATCATCATCATCTTCATCATCATCTTCACCATCATCATCACCTTCATCACCATCACCATCACCTTCATCACCATCACCTTCATCACCATCACCTTCATCATCATCACCATCACCTTCACCATCATCATCACCATCATCATCACCATCATCATCATCACCATCATCATCTTCATCACTTATAAATAGTGAACAATGAACCTGGAGCCTCACACCACAAGGTGGCAGTATTGCACCAAAGAGCTGTTTGCTCATCATTAAATGTGAGAAGAAGAATCGTCCAATCAAACGACAGTAAAGTAACTTTCAATTAATTTCTATAGAAAAATAAAAATTTTTGTGTGAACTGAAGTCAGAGATCTTGTGGGCGGGACCATGAATGATTGACAACTCACTGGCATTGGGTTTGTGATTCATACTGTTGTGGTTCTGGTAGATGGGCGGAGTCTGGTTCTGTGGCTGACCAATCACAGGAGTGGTGGATGGTGTGTTGACGTTGGACAGAATACAGCCGGTGACTCTCTGAAAAAAAAATCCTCATCAGATAAAAACAGATTAAGAAAAAAATCTGAATTAAAAATCTTTCTGTTTATTTATTCATTCAGATCAACATCACTTTTGACATCATTGTTAATTCGACCATTTTGTCTGATCTTCATTTTGTCTGTGACGTGATGTTTCCCGTTGATCAAAATACAAAATGAAGAAATCAAGAGAAAGATTTTAGTCGTGCACACCTTCATGAGGTCACGGTGATGCTCCAGCACGCTGCAGGTGGTCTGCCAGGTGTCCTGGTAACACTCCCAGGGGTCCACCCTGACATCATCAAACACTGAGGTCATAACGAGGCTTCAACACAAACTTCACTGATTCGTTTACCTCACAGCAGTGACATCCCTACTTCCTGCTAAAACTTCACATTAAAAGCCTTTTTTTCTTTTAAAGGATTTTCTTGATAATATCAATTATTCATGACAAAATAAGCAACAAAAATAAAACTTATAGTTAGTATTTTTATTTTCTGAGTCTAAGAGTAAAAACTCAGTTGATTTTCCTTCTAATGTTAAAATCTGAGATTTTACTGAGAAAGAAAAATCAGAAATAACACGCAACGTAAATAAACTCACCTGATCCAGTCAGACGACTGAACCGCCAGCTGACACATGGTGAGACGATGTTTGCTGGACACCAGGCCCTGCGCACACACACACACACACACACACACACACACACACACACACACACACACACACACACACACAAAGTACACAAAGTACACATGGTCAGCTGGACAGAGACATCCAATCAGAGGTGGCAGAGTCTGAGGAGGCGGAACCACAGCTCTGCACGGTTCTCGTTGGTATTTCAGTGTGAACTCAGTCACATGGTCGCGATTATAAAACTAAGTGTTCATCAAACATCATCAAATATCTCTCGTCAACAGGCTCATTAACAGTTTTATTAAAATGATCAAAACAAAACATTTCTTGTTCTAAAACATGGTTAGTGATGATGTCATTGTCAGGGGAAACAGAAATAGAACCAATCACAGTGGGACTTTCTGCATACTAATTAGTCAGAGGTCACATGTTCTCATCTGGAACTGCAGCTGTCAATCAACCTCTTCGGAGCAGCACTCGAGGTGAAAACTGCACGTGGTGAATGGTCAGTGGGCGGATCTATGACGGGCAGGGGGATGAACACGTATGACCAGTGATGTAATAATAAAATCACGTCAGCATGAAGCTGCAGGTTCCCGCTGCGTCTCAGACTTTCTGTTCCATCTATTATTCATGTCCTGTGTTCGTACGGAGCCAGAGAAAGTAGGACAAGACTTCATTAATTCCAGCAGAGAAGAAACAGCAGCAGCTGCATGAGGCTCCATGTTCTCTGACTACATGTGAAACTCACGCTCTCAAACCAGATCAAACCAATCAGCAACCAGCTCCGTACTGATTCCATCGGTACTTACAGGTTTCACGTAGGAGTCGTGCACTGGTGAGATGATGCCTCCGATCACGATGAAGCGTCCTGTTTTGTGCAGATACTCTCGGGCTTTTTCTGCAAACACACAAACGGGAAATGTGAAACAGATATAACACGACACCTTCAGACGTCATGAGGTCGTGGTTAGGATGTGGGGAGACGTGTACGTGGTGTAGTGAGAACACAGCCGCTAAACAGCAACATGGACGCTAACAGCAACATGGACGCTAACATTGACGATAAAGCCACATAGGCTAAGAGCTTAGCATGCTAGCAGAGAAAAAGCTGAGACCTGTCATAAAATTACAGAGAAAAACTGAGTACGAATATATTTTCCTCTCATCTTCAGTTTCCGTGGAACATTTAGCTCTGTTGTGTTGATGTGGGTGACGGATTATTGTTTGAATCTGTCTCAATATTAATGTCAGTGTCGTGTGTTTGTGGCCTTTACTCTTATTAATTTGATTCAGTTCTGTTTTTGATCAGGTCTGCAGGTACAACTTGATTTTTTAATAAACTCCATCTGTGATTGATCTGAACATATAACATCATCAAATAGCTTGAAAGTCTTCTCGTCTTTGAATCATTGGTGCCTGTCGGCTCCTCTCTTCATGCCACTGAGCAAGGCATCAGTGTTCCACTTTCCTTTGACTCAGTGTGTTTTACAGCGTGTTTGTGCCTGAACCTCCAGGATCCCCGAGGATCCCCGAGGATCCTGGAGTGCGTTTCTTTTCTCGGCTGCGCCACGAGGCCTGCGGTGCTTTAGCACGGAACACTTCCGCCTCCTGACCCGGGTTACATCATCGATGTCTCTTTTGTGTTTGGTCTCGAGCCGCCGATCATTTCAGCACCACCCTGCTGGACAGCGCGCGCGCACACACACACACACACTCACCGAACATATGGACGTGTCCTTTAGTGATGGGGTTGAAGCTCCCGCAGGACAACAGGATGACGTGGGTTTTACTCGTTTCTGTCATGGTGCCTTTATTCGATAGATGTCCCGGCTCGGCTCGGTCCTGTGGTCCTGACTGTGTGATGAGCGGCCGCCGCAGAGAGAGAGGGAGGGAGAGGGGGAGAGAGAGAGAGAGGGAGGGAGGGAGAGGGAGGGGGGAGAGAGAGAGAGAGAGGGAGGGAGGGAGAGAGAGGGAGGGGGGGCAGTGAGAGAGAGGGAGAGGGGGAGGGAGGAGAGAGAGAGAGAGAGTGAGGCTGCAGCAGGATGGAGGAGGAAGAGTCAGACTTAAAGGGATAGTTCACCCAAAAATGAAAATTCCCTCATTATCTCCTCATCACTATGATGGGGGG